TACCCTTTGATTTCTTTTTGTTTCTTCTTTGTGTGTCTATCTATCTATCTTGATTAGGTGCTTGTTTAGGGATTGTAATTGGAGGTTTTAGGATTTAATACATCCTTTAGTTGCTAATTGTTCCTCTTCTTGTGTCTCTTCTTCGATCCTTCTTTTGTTTCCGCTGTTATCATCGTTTCTCTTGTGAGAATCGTATCAAGAAAAAGGTAAAAAAAATAGAAGAAGTAATATATTCAAGAATCTTCTAAAATAAATTCTTTTATATTTCAAGCTTTTAATTGATAAATAAAGACAAAATTATTTTGCTAATTAAGGCAAAAACGTTTCTAGTTTTATGAGCATTTATGCTCTATTTATTGTCTCTTGAATTGCCCTCGTGAATAGCCCTAATGGTTGGTTTTATTGGCAACTTTTGGGTGTATAAAGAGGGAATGTTTAATATATCAATTAATCACTTATCATTCCTTATAATCTTCTACCAATTGAGAAAGTGTTTATATATAAGAAGCTAAAATTCTAATAAAAACTGGCAAATAAGAGTAGTTTTGGAATATTATAGATAATTTATAAGTTCATTTAATTAGTTTCGTTATAAAAGTATAATAATAAGGAAGGTGATTGTAATATCTCAAACCACAAAAGAGATTAGTGCTATAACATTGGTGTCTCCAAAATTAATAGTATGAAAAAAGGGAGGGAGGGCGAGAAAATTATCAAAATGGTCTTTCATATATGGGGTTAGAATTATTTTGGTCGTTTATATATATCACCTTATCCAAATAGTCCTTAATGTATATAAAAAGAGGATCATTTCGATCCTTAGCCCTAAAAATTAATTCAAAAATTAAAAAAATGTTAAATTTAACTGTGGGTCCCACAATTGGTGGAGCCTTTCTTCCTCCCTCTTTCTTCTGCCTTTTCTTCTTCTCCATTTTTTTCTCCCGCCTTTTTTTCTCAAATTTCCAATTCATTTATTCTTCTATTCACAACCAAAATCCTCTCTTACATACTAAAATTTCTTCAAATTTCAAAAAAATGTTTGTAAATTTTATTAGATTTTAGCTAAATCAGAAATTGGTTAATTAGTTGCAGCTATTAGTCGACTAGTTAGTTACACTGTTAGTGCTAAAAGGCATGACATGCCAATTGTATTAAGTTAGTTGTTAGATATTTTGTTAGAGAAGTTAGTTACAGTTTTTTGTATATATGTATGACTTAGCTAATGAATTGAATACAAGTTTTCATTCTCCACAAATCACTCTTCCTTGCTTTCTGAAACCCTCAAGCATGTTCATATAGACTTCCTCATAGAGATCACCTTGCAAGAAAGCATTGTACACATCCATTTGGAAAAGATTCTAGTTCTTTGCAGCCAAAGCAATGACAGACCTTATTGTTACCATTTTTGCCACAGGGGAAAAAGTGTCATGATAATCCAACCCCTCTCTTTGGTTGTATCCCTTTGCTACCAGCTAAGCCTTGAATATTTCCACCTCTCCATTTGCTTTGTACTTTATCTTATACACCCATTTAGATCCTATAGCATTCTTACCATGTGTCAAGGACATCACCTTCCAAGTATTGTTATCCTCTAAAGCTTGAACTTCTAGCTTCATAGCTTCTACCCATCTTTTATCTTGAACAAAATCATTGAAACATTTTGGTTCTACAAATATAGAAAAATTAGCCAAATAGGCTTTGTATTTAGGAGATGTTGCATCATAGCTCAAATAGTTTGAAAGAGAGTAAAGGTTGGCTTTCTTTGTGGTCACATAATCTTTCAACCAAACTGGTTCTTGAGCTCTCCTAGTGGATTTCCTTGTGTAAGTTGGAGCAGTACCTTCTGTATTTGAATCATCAGTAGGAGAAGCACAACATGCATCTACAATAACAGGAGTGTGATCATGAACTCCACAGGTGGATGCATCTCCAGTGCCAGTAGGAGAATCATCAGGAACAAGAACATGAACATCTGATTGTTCTGAAGGAGCGGGTGCAACCTGAGTGGTATCCATGAGATTCCATGTTTCAACATCATTGTACTTTCAAAATTGCCTTTTAGAAAAGGAAATTCAACTTCCCTGAAAGAAACATCTCGACTCAAAAAGAACTGACTGGTCTTTATGTTCATGAGTATATATCCCTTCTGAGTTTCAGAAAAGCCCATCAAAACTGAAGTTATAGCTCTTTCACCAAATTTTTCAGGTTTTGGTATTGCAATGGCATAACACAAACATCCTAAAACTCTAATGTGTTCTAGACTTGCCTTCTTTTTATACAAAAGCTCAAATGTAATGTGTCCATTGAATGCATCAGATGACATTCTATTGATCTAATAAACTGCAGCCTTCACACAAACACCCCGAATATTTCAAAGAAAACCCACCCTGATGCCTGAGTGCCCTGACTGTATCTAAAATGTGTCTGTGTTTCCTCTCAACAATACCATTTTGTTGAGGGGTATAGACACAACTACTTTGGTGAACAATACCAAGCTGTTGTTAGAGATTGGTGCATTGAGAGTTGAAAAACTCAGTGCCATTATCTTACCTTAATGTTTTAACCATGACTCCAAACTGATTTTTGACCATGTTGAAGAATTGTTGCAATATCACAATCACATTAGACTTTAACTGTAACAAATATACCCATGTGAATCTAGTATAATCATCAACAATAGTCAGGAAATAATGCTTCTTATCAAGAGTAGGAATTTTATAAGAACCTCAAAGATCCATGTGTACAAGTTCAAAAGGAGATACACTTCTTGAACTACTAGTAGGAAACTTCAATCTAGTTTGCTTAGCAATAGGACAAATGGAACATTTATCATGTATAGAACTACCATTATGGTATTTTACATGTGATATTACCTTCATGATAGCTTGTGATGGATGACCCAATTTCATGTGCCACAACTTGTATGCTTCTTCATTTCCATAAGTAGTCGTTGCACTTATTGCTTCATTTTCCTTTGAGCTGACTTTATTTACCTTCAACACATAAAACCCATCTTCCTCTCTACCAATCCCATTCACCCTGCCACTGTGAAGGTCCTAAAATATACAAAAATCAGGGAAAAATTGACAAAGCAAGATAGTTCATTGGTTAATTTTGACACTGCCAAAAGATTAAACTTAAATTCTGGCACATGAAGAACATTAGTAACATTTGCCTTGTCTCCTGTAGGTAAGTATACCTTGTTCCTGCTAGAATTATATACCTGCCTACCTTGTTCTAGTAAGCTTAAACTTGATGAAATATGATGTGTTGCTCCAGAGTCTACAATCCACTCTCTACGAGGAACACCTGACATTAGACAACTAATTGTACCTGTCATGTTAGCATTTTGCTCCTCTTCATCTTTGTTAAGTAGGTTAACAAGCTGCTTCTATTGTTCTTTAGTGAAATCTGGTCCTTTGCTATCAGCTACATCACAAGGTCCCTTGGACATCTGTCCTCCTTACTGAAAGCAACCAAGACATGTTCCAGCATTGTTGGCATTAGAAAATGGTTGGCCTCTAAAACCACCTTGTTTCTTCTTCCCTTTATCTCCAGGATAGCCAATGATTTTCCAGCACTGACTCTTAGTATGACCCTTCATATGACAATGATCACACACTAGTGGTGGTTTGTGGTGTGGAGGACCACATGCACTGCCAGCTTGCATAGCCAATGGCTCACGACCTCCATTACCATCAGTGACATTATGCATACTCATGGATCTCTCACCTTCGTCCTCAATTATCATAGCATACACTTAATTAATTGTACGATCAGCAGATTTTACAAGAATTTGCCTTCTAGTTTGATCATACGATTCATTAAGGCCATTGAGAAATTGTAGTACTCTTTGGTCTTGCAAATGCTGCACATAGTCCTTAGATTTGGGACATCCACATCTAGGACTTGGTACAAGCATGTCATATTCATCCCATAATTCCTTCATCTTTGAAAAATAAACAGATGTAGAACTTGTACCTTGGATAAAGTTGTTATTTCCCTGTGCAACTGGAAGATTCTAACTCGATTCACCTTGTTGAATCTCTCCTGCAAATCGTCCCAAACTGCATGTGCACTGGAGCCATACACAATGTTGTTTAGTAGATCATTGCTCACAGAATTCATGATCCAGGAATGAACAATAGCATCACACTTTTCCCACTGGTCTGTTAGCTCTGCATAAGACTCCTTCAGACATTTTCCATTGATGTACCCTAATTTCCCCTTTCCGAGAAGAGCAATCTTCATAGATCTACTCCATAGGCCATAGTTTTCAGTTCCTGTTAACTGAACTAGAACAAGCACAGATCCAGGCATATCAGAAGCTTGGAGGTGCAACACATGATTGTGATCGATATCTGGCATTGTTGAAGAGAGTTATCGATCAAAGTAAACTGAAATTTGAAAGAACGAGTATTGGAGAAGAATCAATGTCCACAAAATCAACTCAGATCTTCATGTTCTGATACCAAGCTAAAATCCAAAATAATTCCATTGTTATGGAACACTTGAGAGAAACAAAGAGTTGCATGGAAGAGTGATTTGTAGAGAATGAACTGCTGACATGCTAAAATCCAAAATAATTCCATTATAAGGAACACTTGAGAGAAACAAAGAGTTGCAGGGAAGAGTGATTTGTGGAGAATGAAAACTTGTATTCAATTCATTAGCTAAGTCATACAGATATACAGAAAACTGTAACTAACTTCTCTAACAAAATATCTAACAACTAACTTAATACAGCTGGCATATCATGCCTTTTAGTACTAACAGTGTAACTAACTAGTCGACTAATAGTTGCAACTAATTAACTAATTTCTTATTTAGATAAAATCTAATACTCCCCCTCAAGATGGAGGTTGAAGAACATTGAAAACTCCAAGCTTGGTCATTAGATAATCATTTTGAGCCTTAGTGAGAGCTTTGGTAAGTAAGTCAGCTTGTTGGTCCTTAGTATGAACATAGACCGGATCAATCAGTCCTTCCTTAGCTTTATCTCATATGAAATGACAATCAATTTCAATGTGTTTGGTTCTTTCATGAAAGATTGGATTGGCAGCTATTTGAATAGCTGATTTGCTGTCACTAAACACCTTAAATGGTTGTCCAAGCTTAACTCCTAGATCCTTGAAAAGACCAAGTAACCACACAGTCTCAGCCACACTTGCTTCCATGCTCCTATATTCTGCCTCTGCGGAGCTTTTTGAAACTGTTTGTTGTTTCTTTAACTTCCAGGAAATAAGAGAATTCCCAAACTTTATTGCAAAACCAATAACTAACCTCCTAGTATTGGGACATGCAACCCTATCAGAATCACACTAACAAGACAATGTTTGAGGTCCTTCAGATGCCAACAAAACCCCTTGACCTGGTCCAGCTTTCATATATCTAACAAGTCTTATTGTTGCATCCCAATGTGACTTATTTGGTTGATGCATGAACTAACTTAGAGTCTGCACTGTAAAACTGATATTAGGTCTTGTTATGGTCACATACAATAACTTTCCCACTAACTTCTGGTATGCAGTTATGCCCTCCAGTAATGGATCATCTGAAACTCCAATGCTGAATCATATTCTGCAGTAGTGAGTTTAGCATTCATCTCCATAGGTGTCCCCACAGGTTTTGCTCCACTTAGCCCTAATTCTGAAATTAATTCCAGCACATACTTTCTCTGATTCAATATAATCCCTTGTTGTGATCTCAGTATTTCTATTCCCAGAAAATATTTGAGTTCACCAAGGTCCTTGACTTTGAACTTCTGATGCAAAATGCCTTTTGCTTTGTTGATCGAAGAACCACTACTACCAGTAATCAGCATGTCATCAACATAAACAAGAATAATCACAATGTCATCTGACTCCCTCATTATGAACAATGAGTAGTCATTACTACTATGTGTGAAACCAACATCCAACAGTGCTTGTGTGAGTTTAATGTTCCACTGTCTTGAGGCTTGCTTAAGTCCATATAGTGACTTCAACAGTTTACAAACTTTATAGTGTCAAGCAATTAGCGAATCAATCGATCACTTTAATTAACTGACCATACAACAACATGATTAGAAATAATTATGATCTTTCACTAACCATACAAGACGAAATCACAACACATCTTATAGAACCTTTAAAATTTATTCAGAAAACTACCTTTGAATGTAATAAAAAGGTTACTTCTATATAGTTTTAAAAAAAAGTAATCTGAATCAACTTAATGCTAATCTTATGGCCTATGATCAATACTGTTCTTTGTATAATCGACTAATCCATGAAGAAACCACGATATAGAGCTCTGCTTGATACTATGCGGTGCCAATCTAAATTAGTCTGAATAAGGATATCAATCATCAATAAAAAAAATATGTGCCGCTTGTAAATAAGTTAGAGTTGAGTGTTTAAAATGACAACATATTAACAAACACCCCAATATCCATAAATCAGGGTGGTAAAAACTGAACGAACAGCGGTAGAAAATAAAAATTTACAAACATTATTTTGAAATTTGAAGAAATTTTAGCATGTAAGAGAGGATTTTGACAGTGAATAGAAGAATAAATCAATTGGAAATTGGAGAAAAAATGGCGGAGAATAGAAAATGGAGAAGAAGAAAGAGGGAGGAAGAAAGGATCCACCAAGTGTGCGACCCACAATTAAGTTTACAATTTTTTTTATTTTTCAGTTAGCTTTTAGGGCTAAAACCAATATGATCCTCTTTTTATATATACATAAGAACTATTTAGATAAACTGATATATATAAAGGACCTAAATAATTCAATCTTCATATATGAAGGACCATTTTGATCATTTTATCGAAAAATGGCTATAAAGTCGGTTTGTTGTAACAAAACATATTTGGCTTTCTTGTCCTCTCTACTTTGAGATCAGAAAAAAAACTTGTTAAAAAAAATGGCATCTTTTGGTGAGGCACCACCAGGAAATGAAAAGGCAGGAGAGAAAATCTTCAAGACTAAATGTGCTCAATGTCATACTGTTGAAAAAGGTGCCGGTCATAAACAAGGTACCTTCCTCATCTATTTTTATTTTTTTCTTTAAACATTTCTTGGCAGATCTATTCTCTTTCTACTTCTGTTCGTCTTTTATTTGTTATTCCTTTTTTTTTCTTTATTTCCTTGGTGCCTATATATTCTACTAGATCTGCAATTTATAAATTCATGTTACTTCCAACTTTTTTTTTTGGCAATACAATGCATATACAAATACTCTTTCTGTCTTAATTTATGTGATACATTTCGTTTTTCTTTTTGGCTTTATATGTTGACAAAAAGATAGTTTTATAGGAACTAATTTCCACACCTAAACTAGTGATTGCTTTGTGAACATAGGTTAAGATCAAATAGCACTCTATATATTGTTTAACATGCATGTACTGGATTTTATGAAAAAATTTTGTGAGATTTCTGATTATTGATTAGTTGAATGCCTAATAATCATTTAATCATGATTTACTTAACGGAAAATGGTCCAAATATATAATCCTTCCATTATAATTTGAAACAAATTTTTCGTTATTTTTTTATGGAGGAACACATGTCTAACTTATAATCAAATAAATCACTCCTAATTTGATCTTTAATTTTTTTTTAGAACCATCCGTTTGATCCGATCAGACCAATTGTTTTTTTAAAAAAATTCATCTTCTTCTCTGTAGACCCAAATATGAGATAATGTTAAGTACTCGCGAATAGTATATGTGTATATTTGATCCTTTTCTGTTTACTTAATTTGTGAATTTATGAGCTGAACACGATATATTTGGTGCATGTGGTGATTTTAATATGCTTAAACTGTATATAGGCGTTGTTTGTTCTGTCTATCTGCTAATTAGTTTGCATAATTTTGAAGTAAGTAATGTTTTGTTGATCACTGAAAACTAGTTGCTCGATTTCACTAGTTTAGAAATTTCCAATAGATAATTTTATTAGCTTATTTTAACGCTACTTTTTCAATTTCTCTTTTTTTTTTTTTTCTTTTGAATGGTTGACAAATGAGTCGTACTTGGCTATTATAGAAGTAATTAGGAATGACAATGAGGCGGGGTGGAGGCAGAGTAAGGGGGAAGGAGGTAAAGTTATGCATGTGCGGAGTGGGGTAGGGTGGGTTACAATAATTTTTGTAGAAAATTTATGTGGAGCAGAGCGATGGGGTGTTACAGAATTCCTAAATTTAAATTACAAAACTTTCTTTTAAACTATTTCCTCCATTTAAAAAAAATGGTTTCCCTTCCTAATTTTTAGTCAGTTTAAAAAAGAATGACATTTTTTTCTTTTTGTGGTAATATTTTAGTTTCAGTTTTTCACGCGGTATGTTTAAGGCCACAAAATTAAAGGGCAATTTAGTACATTTGACATAACTTTAATTTAGGACCACAAGATTTAAAAATCTTCTTCTTTATTTCGTAAACTCCGTGTCAAGTCAAACTAGACCAATCTTTTTGAAACGGAAGAATTAATATTTATTTAAACAGGACCCAATTTGAATGGACTCTTTGGAAGGCAGTCTGGAACAACTGCTGGTTACTCCTACTCTGCTGCCAATAAAAACATGGCAGTCACTTGGGGAGAAAACACTTTGTATGACTATTTGCTCAACCCCAAGAAGGTACTACGGTTTATCTTTTTGTTATGGGAAAAAAAAATTAAAATATATCGAAACTTTGATCGAAATTACTGTAACACTATCGAATTTTGGAAAGGACATTTTATCCCTGCATCATTTAATAGTGTATTTTAAAGGTATATATGTGTCACGTGGACATCATAAATATTGCATCATTATAAATAGTAATGTGTCCACGTAGGCACATATATACTTTTACAATAAACTATTAAATAGTACAGGGTAAAAGATCTTTCATAAAGTTTGGTATCATAACAGCAATTTCGACCAAAGTTAGAATATTTTTCAGTCTCTTTTTCCTTTTGTTATCTTCACATTTTTGTGTTTACCAGACATATAAGGTTATTTGAATTGAGTTCTATTTAAGACTACTATCGTATATAATTCAATCAAGTTGAATGCAACGACAAATTTAAACTATTAATATTTTTGTTTTCGAATCAATTAATTATAAATTTCTGTTTTCGGAATATGCAATCTGTTGATTGTTTCTACAGTACATACCTGGAACAAAGATGGTTTTTCCTGGATTGAAGAAGCCACAGGAGCGTGCAGACCTCATTGCGTACCTGAAATCTGCTACTGCCTGAGGAAAATGACACTTGTTTTACCATGCGGTGAAAGATAAATTAATTGATTTTTTTCTTAAAAAGAAATAATAATAAATAGACCTCTTATATATGGCCTGACTCATTTATTTTCCAAAGAACTGGTTCATAAGAAAAACACTTGATAAACAAGGCCAATTTTAATATCATAATTTTCTCATGATTATGTTTTGGTGGTATGCTGTTTTACTTTGTCTTTTCTCTTTTCATTTAAGTCGATAGCCAATTCGGAGAATTGCTTTATTTTTATCCTTAATATATTTTACTTGATCCATATTATATTATTTTTAATGTATTTAATATATTTTACTTGATTCATATTATATTATTTTTAATGTATTATAAAAGATGCTCAATTTGGTTCTTTGTCCCTCAAACTAATAGATTCATAAGAAAAAACTCTATTAAATGTAACCTTGTTGCCCCACATGCAGCTTAACGTGCAAAAAAGGAAATCATGAAACACTTTTCATTTCCAATCATAAGTCATGGCGCGACAAGTTTTCCCTAATTTCTTCATCTTCATATCTTTCAAGTTTCCTTGATAGAAATTATATTTTTACTAAAAAGACACTTATTCTTTCTGCTCTTACGAAGAATGTTAAGCAAAAGAATGGTGCCAAAGAATTGTTTTTTCAGGTTTTACCTTAGAGAAAATGGTTAAAAGCCCCCCTATTCATGGTCGGATTTCTAACTATACACTTATATTTTACGGGTGTCCTATTACCCCATGAACTATTTTAAAAGGCTATAAATTTCACCCTAAAATGACATAGTCACTCAGGTATATTGTGGTGTAACACACGCACATAACATGTCAATGCCACATAATAAATATAATAAATTAATTATTTTCTCTATTTTTTATTATATGCTCATTACAAACCTCCATTATCACCAAGAACGTCCCATTATAAAACCCACTTCTCATCCATTGACATTTCGGCAAGAGAACAGACGATGAATTTTTCGACGAGTAAAAGTCTCAATGGCCAGTATCATTATCTAATTCCCCACAATTTCTCTCAAATCCCATTGCTATACATTTTACTCTTGTTGGGGAACTTTTGAAGGAATATACCAAAACTAGTATATGGACATGCTATAAATGTCCAATTCAATTTATTTCTTTTCTTAATGTTGGTGAAAGTAGCAAACCAAATTAAACTATTGAAATTAATCCAACTGAAAAAAGTATGACCCAGTTGAATTTTTTATGCTTCATTTCGAAGATACCCAATTTATGGTTGAATTCAAGAATTTGCAATTAGAGTCAATGTTTGAGAGAAGAGCTTGTGAAGATGTTAGAAAGTGAAAATTTTGTTTTTGTTTGATATGGGTTCCAGCAAAAGGATTGATTTTTTTACTTTTTATTTTATTACTTTGATTTGGAAGTGATAACTAAATTTATTTAATGGTGCTTTGATTATGGATAAGAGAGTGTTAATATGCAGAATTCCTAAAGAAATTTGTAGAAATTTGCGATGAAGAAGAAGAAGAAGAATAAGAAGGGGGGGAGGGGGAGGGGAAGAGGAAGAGGAAGAAGAGGAGGAAGAATAGAAAGAGGAAGAGGAAGAAGAACAGGAGGAGGAAGAGGAGGAAGAAGAAGAAAAGGAGGTGGAAGAAGAAGAGGGAGAAAAGGAGGAAGAAGACATAAAAAGAAGAAGAAGAGGAAGAGGAAGAGGCCGAAGAGGAAGAGGAAGAGTAAGAGGAGGGGGAAGAAGAGGAAGAGGACAAAGTGAAAGAGGAAGAACAAGAGGAGGAAGAAGAACAAGGAGGAGGAGGAGGAATTATTTTGATTTAATAAGAAAGGGAGAGAGAGAAAAAAACAGCCCTATTAGCTCATACATTTTCTTTGCCAACTCAGCAGTAAGGGTTTATTTATTTTCTTTTAAAATAGTTCAGGGGATGATAGGACCTCCGTGATACTTGAGTGTGTAGTTGAAAATTCGGTAATAGGTTTGGGGGTGGGTATTTGACCATTTTCTCTTTTATCTTATGTACCCTGTAACTAGTTCTCTTTTGTGATCTTTCTACTTTCGATAAAAAGAATTATGTTTTGTCTATTTTAAGTTTGTTAACAAAAACATAAAGAAGCGATAGATAAGAGTTCCAAAGCTTAAAACTTTTTCTCATAAAGTATTTAATAGTGGAACAACAGAATATTTAGAATGAGACACTTATTCCATAAATTATTAAGGCCGAAATAATTAGGTGTCATGTGGACGCTAACAAAGTAAACCTCAAAAGACCACGAGTAAGAAGACAAATGAGAAATATACCATGAGACACAAAGATTTAACATGGTTCTATCAATCAACCTACATCCACAAGAGAGATGAGCAATTCACTATATAAACATTAGAGTAAAAAAATATAGAGAGAAATAACCTCACCTAATTCACTCGGAATAAAAAGAGGTTCACACAAGTGATAACGCATCACTTGTGCCTAATAAATTCTCCCCCCTAACAAAAACTCTCAAACCCCTAGGACTACATTGTGAATGTTGCATAAGTTAGAAGGAATGTGTCACGACTTAACTTCACGAGTCATGATGACATACTTAAACCCACAAGTAGGTAAGTTGACCCGTACCCAAAATGACAAGTAGTGAGTACATGAATAGACCTAAATAGAAAATAATACTAACTATAAGAAAAGACAAAACGGAAAGCAAGTCAAAACTATATACAAAGGAAAGCCTCCCAGAACCTGGAAGTCACGAGTACAGAGTTGTCTAACAAGATAAATGCAAGTCCCAAAAGTGCACCACAATAAGTCATGTCAAAAGCAAAAGACAAGCTAACATATGTACAAAAGGAGAAAGGCTCATCCAGGACATCAAGTGCTCACCCTCGTCTCTGATATCCACATGCTGTAAAAGGCGACACAAATGATCTGTCATTACCCAAAGTACACCCTAAACGTGACATGACATATAGGACCCGAGAGGCCCTACACAAGCCACTAATCATACATCATACAAGAGTATAGAATTTAAAGTTCAAAAGAGTTTTTGAATCAAAGCGGAAGTCTAACATTTGTCTCAATAAGCCATCAACTACATCGTAAGGAAAGTGTTTGGAACGTAACCCATACATCACATACAAATTCTAAAGAATTGAAAAGACATAAAGCTATAAAAGTGACACAGTCCTCAAAGTATGAGGATTCACCAAGTCTTCAAATCTCTAATGCAATAAACTAGCCACGAACGGAAGGATAAGAATCGACAAGCCCTTCATTAGTGAAACAATGTAGGCACAAGTATGAATTAGTACCTGAAATGTACTTAGTATGGGGGGAATGCAATAAAACATCAGACATGATCATAAAGGGACATATTCATAAACATGAAATGCATGACCAAGTTAAAACATAGTAAAATCATTTAAGAAGATTCATAAATCATGAAAATGGTCAATGCATCATAAAATTATAAAGGAAGCTTCATAAACCATTAGTAATTAACTTAGTTCGTTTTGTGGGAAGTTTACTATTAACCAACATATAGACCATGAGAGCTATAACATGGAATCCAGTGTCTACCCCGCACCGAAAAGGGGTGTCCTCACTTGCCAAAGTAAGAACCATGAGTCTGAGCTAAAGTGGATCCACTAGCTAATGTTTTTCTATGCCAATCATCCTATGGTGGCACATAGTTATGGGATAAGGAGAGAGCTACTAAAAACCTGACCTCAAGCTACGAGAAAGCTTCCATCTCAATATGCTCTCGGTGCTAAGCATAAATCGCATGGAATGGTCATTAATCTTATTCAATTTTATCACTCATCAAAAAGTACAATTAATATACTAATCCAAGCTAGAAACATCATAGGGTAGCTCTTTGACCATGCGTGAGAAAACTTTTCACCATCCATGATTTTTTCATATTAGTTTTTTAATGCCCATAGTCATTCACTTCATGCTAGAAATACCCTACTTCTAATGGATATAGTTTTGAAAGTGTGATCGATAATCATTGATGGCATATCCGGATAACATACTAATCAAGACCTAATTTAGGAAAATAGCCCAAAAGACATTGAGAACAAATCTAGATGCCATCATAACATATGACCAATTTTCTTAGAAAATATAGATACATTCATCTATAAGCTTACTTGAGTCATAAACATTGCTTTCATAAAACATATTCATACATTCAAACTTTTTCATAAATTCATGCAAATTATGGCTCATAGCCAAAATAAATAAATCAATGCATGGGTTGACATGGAATTAGTTGAAAAATATGTAACGAAATCCAATTAATCAAAATAAAATCATAATAAAGCAATTGAATCCATACAAATAGAACCCATGGAGAATTAAGTGAAAACCTAATCAAATCTTGGGAAATTGAATTTGAGAATTGAAGAAACCTTTGGGGACTCAATGGGTTATTAGAACCAATTGATGAAGTCCCTACATACCTTGATTGAAGCCCTAATCAATAATGAAGAAAGGAGACTTGAACGTCAAGAACCCTAGCTTCTTATGCCTTGTTCTAGAGAGAAGATTTTTGGAGAAAACCTTGGAGAGACTATAGGAATTTGAGAGAATGAAAAAGTTGGGGGAAATTTCTAAGGGTTAAGGGTATTTATAGGGTTTATATTTTGGGGCAAAACGATGTACTATAGGGCTAAAACAATTAGGGAAAAAACACAAAATCCCTTAGAAAAATAAATGTCAACCACCATCTACTGTTGGACTTACGGTCTGTAGGTCCTTCTACGGACCGTACTGGTGAACAATAGAAAGTGATCACAGACTCTAGATTTGGCCAACAATTGACAGAACCCATGTAAGGCTCGTAGTTTTATCTACAGACCATACATGCTAACTGTAGAAATCAACTTTAAGCTTTAAAATTTCACAAAGTCTGGGGTCACCTACGAAACCTACCTATGACTCGTTGAAGGAACAACGACTCATCCTGTTGAACCGTCAAAAGGGTACTGGGACTTGTTTTGAAAATTTTATTTTCTCCTACCTACGGTGGCCACCTACGGCCCGTAGAAGCTTCTACGGTCTGTATATGGGCCCCATAGATACAGACTTTAGCCTAAATGTTTACTTTCTCCCTTACCAAATCTGAGGTGTTACACGGTCACTGATGGTTGCTGGTACTATGACATGCATCACAAAAAGATGCAGAGTGTAACATAAGTAGTAAAACGAGGTACTTAGTAGACATCATAGGCCGATTGAGCTAGCGGATTGG